TCCATTCTTTCTTCTGACTCCCAATCATGGTTTCATACTTTCCATATCTTTCCATCTCATGCTGTTTTGGATGACTTCCCCAGATAAATCTACTTCACTAATTCTGTCTTTAACTATGTTTCACTTCAATGATTGTTATCATTCACTTTTAGAAGGATTTTTGGTTTTTTTTTTTTAACCTTCTAATTCTTCTTTCACACTGTCCTCTCCTTTCATTACGGCTCTATTTCTTCTATCTTAAATCTTATTATTTTTATTTTGAGAGAGAGAGTCTATGAGCAGGGGAAGGGCAGAGGGAGAGGGAGAGAGAGATTATCTCAAGCCGACTCCTCGTTGAGTGCAGAGCCCAACATGGGGCTCGATCTCACAACCCTGAGATCATGACCTGAGCCGAAACTGAGAGTCAGTCGCTTAACCCACTGTGCCACCCAGATGCCCCTGGCTCTATTTCTTCTTAATCATTTGTTTTTGAAATTAAAATAATTATCTTTATAGTGAACTTCACATAGTGAAGTTCTTTTATAATACATTTCAGAATCGTGGAGATTTATTCTTCTGTTTGTTATAATTCCTGATGTGCCCCCACCCCCACCGCATCTGCAGTGGTAGATCTGTTATGTTATTTATATTGTTCGGATGTGACATTCTCTGTGCAGACGGTCTCAGCTCTGAATCCCGTGTGCCTTGGACAGTGGAGATGTGCCTGCAAGATGATTCTGCATTTGCCACTGCCCAAGGCCTTAAAGGACTTCAAGAGCCTGTATCTATTTTTATGTTCATGCTTTCCTTTTGGTTCTCATACCACTGGGACAGAATAAACTTGGAGCCCACACCCATGTATGGCCTGGTATTTTAGTTTCTAATGTCCTTTAAGGTACAGGCAGATCTCCCAGACTCAGAACTTTCTGCAAGGGCCCAGATTCTGGCTCCCGTGCCTCCACCGGTCAGTCACATCTGCCTCTGGGCATTAGAATTCCAACCCCTAGGCCCCAGCCCCCCTCCCCAGCCCATTCCAAGACCAAACCCAACAAAGGAGGACCTCGCCATGGCCACCAGGGATGTGTCTGTACGCACTGCTCTGTGTTCTGTCTGCACTCACAACAGACTGACCGTGTACCTGACACCATGGTCCACCCGCAGCAGAAGGCGGCGAGCCACCCGCACAGCTGAGCGGGCTCCCAGCAAGTCTACGTGACGTTTTCCTTAAGGTGCTTTTAATCCACAGCACCATCTCCTCATGGTTTCACTCACTTTATTTATAGAGAACGGAGCATTCGTTTTGTTTTTCTAGTCATCTGAAGGCTCTGTGTTCCTTCAGAGCCTGGAAATTATCTCAATAACATAGTTAAAAAAAAAAAGAAAAAACAAAACTATTTTCCTGGTTCCCATACTCTAGAGAAAACATTTACCATCAGAAGCTAAATCTGAAGATTTTGTAAGCAAGTCTATTCAAACGCCTCTATTCTGGGATTCACACTTGGCTGTACTGACACAGCTGGACTCTTCCCTTGGCCAGAGTGTTCTTCCATCTGAGTAATTCAGCGCTGTGCCTTCGCCAAGGAGCTCTCCTTATGTCTGGGTGTGATGCCCGCGAAGACCCACACCCTGGCTGCAGCGCCTCACAGCGGCCGCTCGCTGCACCCAGTGCGGGGCAGGGAGGCTGGCAGTCTGGCTACGAGCATGCAGACCAGCCAAGAGGAGCAAGAGGGCCGGGAACCTGCCCATCAACCATGGCGGACCCGACTCTCCTTATCTGTAAATGGACGGGGTTCAATGAACTCTAGGATCCTTGACAAACCTGGGGAAAACGGACAAGCACAATTTGATTCTGACGGAAGAATCGGTGAAATTTCCCTTGATCCCACCGGATTGTGTTTTCTCCTCTCAGGACGTAAGAATAAAGGGCTGACAAGGACTAGCTCTTGCTGAAACAGGACACAAAGAGCAAACCACTGCACATCGATCTTCCCTAATCTGTGTCAGAACATTACATTTTCATCTCCGCCTTGTCCGCAGCTTGACACCTGGACCACTGAGCTTGACCACAACAGCCATCCCCCTGCTGTGACGCAGGCTGGGGCGGGGGGGGGGGGCAGGCAGACTGGTGCACACCAGCTTCTGGAGGGGTTCCTGCTCCAGGGCTTTGTTTATAGATACTACAGATGCAGGAAGCAATTACCAATAAGACAGACAGGTAAATAAAATAAAACAAATACTTTAAAGGTCACCCATTTGGAGATAAAAAGTGCAAAGAAAACAAGTGTATCCCTTTAGAATCAGAATAATCACACGTGGGCTGCCCCTGCTGTCCCTGTGGGGCCACCAGCCAGCAGGCATGGACCAAACCCTGGATGCCCTGCCCTCAATTTCTGCTCCCGCCCTCCTCACCATGGACAGGCAGTGTGTTTCAATGTCAAAAAGTGAGTAGCATAGGGCACCTGGGTGGCTCAGTTGGTTAAGCAACTGCCTTCGGCTCAGGTCATGATCCTGGAGTCCCAGGATCGAGTCCTACATCGGGCTCCCTGCTCCACCGGGAGTCTGCTTCTCCCTCTGACCCTTCCCCCTCTCATGCTCTCTCTCTGTCTCAAATAAATAAATAAAATCTAAAAAAAAAAAGAAAGTGAGTAGTATAGAGGTTAATTGAGACTTCTCCCTTAGTATTTGCCCTCAACGCTAATGAATGGGCTGCTATCCAAAATTAATTTGTTGGTGTGTGTATTGGGGGGGGGGGTCCATAAACCAAAACATCATGCTTGGCACATTGGCCTTTTTATGGCAATTCACTACCAGTCTGGGTAATAAAACCCAGTTAACCCCAGATAACAGAACAACACACAAGTGAGCAATATGAAAGGGCCTGACTCTTTTTCAATCTAACACCCAGGCTTGCCACACCACCCAGGTGACTCCAAGCTGGGGCAGGTTCTGCCCACACTCCTGAATGCCGAGCCTGCTGGACTCCACCCGGACACCTGAGGGCAAGCAGCGAAGGCCCAGAGGCCCAGGTTGAAAACAGCAATCTCTTTCTTTTTCTTCCCAGGAGGACTTGTCTCTCATTAGGTAATTAGGGCCAAGAGGGTCTGGTCAGAGAGGAATCTAGGTACCTCACACGGAATTTAATGTGGCTTCAAGCACACTAACGATGGAAGAGCAGAAAAGCCACATGGGGGAGGGCAAGGCAACCAGATACTGCGCCCCCTCTCCCCCCCCAACCCCCCCGCCCAGACAGCTGCAGCCTCCCCTGGCGGGGAGGACCGAGGGAGGCAGCAGCATAGCCCAGAGCCTGGGAGCCCGTGCCACCCACAGGAGCTGGCACCACGGGGGACAACTCTGTAGAAGTTGGCACCTTGGAGGGAGGGGCAGAGGGAGAGATGCTCTGGCTCCCAGCCCAGCCCCCACCTCACTCCAGCGTCCAGGGTCAGAAACCAGAAGCCAAGGAGTCTCCACAAGACAAGAGCAGAGCAGAGCAACGGTGGGGAACGGAGCTGAGAAAGAAAAGGCAGCTGCCATCATACTGACCCAATAAAACCTGAGGGCGGTGCTGCCCCTGAAGGGCTCCTGCACTGGGCAGTTTTGGTGTCAGAGACCAGACACCACTCGGAAAACATGGTGGCGGGAACCCAGCATCTCTGTCTCAGCAAATGAGGGAAATCTGTCCTTCCTAGAGTTTTCTGCCTTATACTGCACCTCCCCCCCCCCGCCACCACCACGGAGCTTCATTCAGTTGCTTAGAGAGTTCGTGAAGCCCTGTCAGGTTTCATGTAATGGGTTAGAATCTGCAAAGGATGGCGCGGTCTCCACCCTCCCTGCGGCCGCGGCGGACCCTGTGCCAGGCCGGCTGAGCTGACCCCAGGAAGGAAGCGGCTGGCGAGGCCGGGCCCAGCTGAGCAACCACCTGTGAGGGAAAGGGGGTCCGCGGACGGCGGCCATCAGCCATCTGCACTGCTTCTGGGCTCGCAGCCCTGGACGGGGCAGCAGAGAGGGGCAGCGTGGACACCCTGGAGGACGGAGCACCACGTCCCACCACAAGGACGGGGACCGTCTCCCTGCAGTTGTCAGTAACCTGAGCAGGACGAAGCAGGGCTAAGAGGAGGCGCCTCTACGGAGCAGCGTGCCCCCCGGCAGGGACCTTGCAGCAGGCCAAAGCCTCGGTCACTGCAAAGGCAGCCAGCACAGACCACACGGGGAGGGGGCCACACGCCAACCTGGAAAACGAGGCGGGGGAGGTCAACTAAAAACGTCCCCGCATACTTGAGAAGCCAAGACCCTGCATGCATGAGAAACGATCCGTGTTAAAAATGAGGAAAAGCTCAGGAGAGACAGCAGGTGCTCAGGCACCGAGCTGAAAGCCGTGTAAGGATTCAGAGCAGGACCTGCCGGGTCAGAAGCACACCAGAAAACTAGGTGCAAGGGAGGTGATGGGGGGAGCACCAAGGGAGGCGCTGGGGGGGGGCACCAAGGGAGGCGCTGGGGG